GACGCCAAGGGGATTCACACCGAATGAGACAATGCTGCGTTTCCAGCTTCAGAAGTCAGGCACGACAGGTCAATGGCTTTTAATCTGTACTGTGAATCTAGCAGGTCTTTACAAAGCCTTTCTGAGACCAAAGATGGATCCACATGTGGCCACCAAGAACAGCTGCATGAACAACAGGAGAAAGACGTCCTCTCAGCAGGTCATGGCCTGCCCCGTCCCGCCCTCACCCCCATCTTGTCCACTGTGCTCTCGACTTGTCTCTTGTCCATATGCAAACCCCCCCCAGCTCCCGGGAGATGCTGAGAACGTGACTGAGTGCAGCTCTTCCATCAGCAGAGACACCAAACAGGGCCCCCTCTCAGCCGCCCCCCTGTCTGTCTGTGTTCCATGGGGACCAGAAATTCTGATTAATAACTCGCACCAGCTGACCTGTGAGAAGACAGACAGACATAAACTAGGAAGAGGACAGTGTGATATCGCAGCACAGGCCGGACCGAGGTGCCGTCAGACTGCTCAGAAGCCTGTGGAGGCTCCGTAGACCTTTAGAGGTGCTAGAACAGAGAAGGAAAAGCAGAACATGAAAATCGTGGCCTGACACACGACACCCACACAGACTGCGCCCTGAAAACGGGCTGTGCCAGAAAGGCCTAGAGGGAGCAGACTGGCCGTGACCAGGGGGTAACACGCAGAGCATGGAAGGTAACACGGTCTTTAAAACAGTCAGAAAATCGTTCCTATTCTTACCAACACTGGCAATCCAACTTTCTTGTCTTGAATTCCCTCAGGAAAAAAAAAATGCTGGTGACTACTCTCAGTCACGTTGAGGAAGACATGCTTGTCGAGGTGTATTATAAGAAATAAATGTTTTTTCACTGATTGATTGGCGAAGTGTCTTGTTTCCTCACACCTCTGCATCTGAGGTTCAGCTCTCCTTCCTGCATGTGGAGTGCGTCTGTTCTTCCTGTGTTATGCAGATTTCATCCTGCAGTCCAAAGATAGCGGTTAGCTAATTGATGTCCATAAATCGAATGTATGTACCTGGACTGACATGCTGTCCAGCGTGCAGCTTTGTGCTTTTCTGGGATGGGCTTCAGTGACCCTGACCGAGGTAAGTGGATGGAGGATGGATGGAGGATTGATTAAAGGCTCCTCCTTCTCATCTGCTCTGCGATCCAGGAGGGGCCGCAACGTTACGTCATCTTTCAGTATCCATGATGAACTCCCCTCCTCCCACCCCTCCCCCCTTTCTAAGGCACTCTATCATTCCTACAGCGGACCTGCAGTCATCTCATTGGCTAGCCTAATCAGGTCCCCGTTCTGCCATTACCACAGGAGGAAGGAGCTTTAAACCAGCTGTAAATCCAGCCCGTGTTGCCAGATCTCAGTCCCTGGGGTTAAGGGTTTCAGAGACAGCACTAGGGGGGTGTCCATGGCAAGTTCATACTCTGGCCTTGTTTTGAGACCCTTGACGAGAGCCATTCCAGGCCCCCTGCTGTCTCCTGATTGTACCTCATGGACTCAGGGGAAGACCCAAACGGAGAGCCTATATAGAAAGCCAGAGAGATCACCTTCATCTGCAGGTCAGTGGAACTGGGCCGACCCGACCCGTGGCTGGAGTGCAGGGACCCGCTAGTTAGTGCTGTAGTCAAGACCACCTAAACTGAGACCAGATCAATACCAAGACCAGAGTGTATTGAGACTGAGACAAGACCAAGGCAGGGTGAGACAGAGACAAGACTAAGACCAAGGCAGGGCTAGACCAAGTCAAGATCAGAAACAGACTACATAACACAACACACTATAAAATGTGGAGCATAGGCACTATCTTGGGGCTAGGCAATATGGGCTAAAATTTGTTCCACAGCATAATTTGAACCCTGGATGTTTTTTCTTAAAATTTAAATATATAAACGTTTCTGTACGAATGTACAGACGTACCTTATTAGTTGCATTTGAACTTTGAAGCAGGACGTTTTACACTCAATCACAGTACTGTGTTAACCCTTTGAACCCTATTTTTGAGTATTTTTCTATCCCTTTGATTTTAGGATTATTACATGGTATGTATATGAGTTAGACACCTATACTGTATGTGTTTGTTTTCAGGACATTCTGGGCTACTCAGATATTTATTTATATTTAATTATTACTTTATAACATCTGAAAGAAATTGAAATAGAAAAACATCACTATTAGTCGGCATTTTAGCCTCAAACAACAAACCTACGCTGTAGCATGTCACTGTGTTTACATATGGGATGTGTTCCAATTACACGATGGGCGTAATTTCAACTGTTTTGATGGAGCTCGACATCAAACATACATAGACAATCTTTTGTGGATAAATATTGCAAAAATATCAAGTAATTGTCTTCCTAATAAACAGAATGTTGCATTTTTTATTTCTAGTAGAACTCCAGCCCATTTTGAGTGTTTTTCTATCCCTTTAAATTATAAATATTTTGGTAACACTCTCTATGAAGCCCATATTCATAAAGCCTAATAACTGTTCTTATAATTCATTGTAACATTCATAAAGTATTATATATATTTAGGTGTAATACATTATAGCCATGTTTCTCATGCATTTGAATGCTCTATGAAGCTCTCAACTATAATGCATTATGAATACCTTCATAATACATAATAATGGTCAGTATAACAATTAACGATGCATTGCTGATTGCTGTATTATGGAGGTATTTATAGTGGATTATAGATGAGATGAGATTATGTATTATGCCTTTTTTATGAATAGTTATAGCTATGTTTGTAATAAAAATATTGTGATAAATATTGAGGCGTTTTGATGAGTTATCTTGACTGGTCTTGAACTCAAACCTTGAGTCCTCTGTATCTGAGACCAAGACAAGACCAAGACTGCAAAAAAGTGGTGGTCTCAAGACCAAGACTGGTCTCAAGTACTATAGCAATACGGCTAGCATTAGGTGACAGTGGGATCCATCACAGAGCAGCTGTGCTGCAGAGAGCAGAGCGTGAGAGCTACACGCACCAAACATTAAGCAACAGACGACCAGAAAAAAGCCTCCTGAAATATTAATACCTGCATGAAATATTAATCTGCATTCTTCCCCTGTGTTCCTCAGTGACGTTCCCTTCAATTATTTATATATTTGCTGCTATTTTTAGAATGTTTGCCTCCAAATATAATAGTCACTCTAGAAAAGATTTATTACTCGGCATTGAAGCATTTCAGCCCCGTTCCTTTGATTGATACATTGTGATCACTTGGATTAGAAAAATCACATTCAGATTTAGTGATGCAGGATCTGAAAATATGACAACAGGGAAAGACAGCTGAAATTCCTAACCTCTGTATTACAAAAAGCTACGTAAAAGCAGATCACCTACTCCTGTGCGGCCTGATCCTTCTGAAAATGGACCTCCTACGTGTTACTTTAACCGCTATCTTAGGACCTTTAATTTCTCGAGTGTAGTGGAGATCAAACTCACCTCACACCTGACAGGTCCTCAGTCCAAAACTGAGTGGACACACACATGTGTTTGCTGGTGGTGGGACTCAGTCATTTAGAACACCGTTTCTGTCATCGGAAGGTCGCTGGTTCAAATGCCGGGGTCGGCTGAGTGGTTTTGCTGTTGGGCCCCTAAGTAAGTGCCCCAGGGACAGTCTGACTCTACTTTCTCAGCCGTGTGGTGCTTTGAATAAACCCATCTGCTAAATAAAAAATGTGTGAGACGCCTAGAAGAATGGGAGAGCATAACTGGGCATTATGTTGGGGTCGTGTTTAGTTTCTGTGGCCCATGGTTGAGTTACATAGCTGAAATCCATAAATTCAAACGGGTACTTAAGTTGAAATAACACGACCGCCGCCTGGTTCCAGCCCAGTCCTAGTACCACCCGCAAAGCTCCTAATGGACTTGCGCTGTGCTTTTATTATGGTAAATACAAGTATAACAGCATATTTCAGCGCAAACCTATAATAAGCAATTTGTTCCCCAGTAAGAGTAAGTCTCTGAAGCTGGCCGTGTCCAGCGGTGGGGGTGGACAGCCTGACCCAACCAGGGGGTGTGTAGCTTGGTGTTTGGTGTACAGTACCTGACGCCCACACAGCACGAGCAGCACCCCCCCCCCCCAACAAAGGTCATCTCCCATCAGCTTCTCATACTTCCGCCTCCTTGACCTGAGCACCACCTCAGCTCCAGGAATCTTGCCTGCTGCTCCTGACCTTCTTCTTCCTGTAATCGACCTTCATGACAGCATGCAGAGAGCCATGGTCACCTACAGCCGACCTCCAGAGCCCTAGGGGGCGCCGCCCACCCCATCAGGACCTCTCCTCTCCTTTCATCTACCTGTCTGTCTAGCCTTCCTCCTAAAACCATCCCTTAACATTCATTCTTTTTCCCAACCTTAAGAAAATGTACATATTCACCCATCTTTCTCTCATGAATATTTAATACATTTGTCAATGCTTCACCTGCCTCCCCCTGTATCTAGACTTTCTCTGCCCCCCCAGCCATGGCCATTTGCAAAGGAATAAATGTGGAGGCTTCCTGCAACTGTCAGGTATGGCTGGGGGGGGGGGGGGGGATGGCACAGGAGGAGAACACTATGTGGGGAGGATGGGGTTAAGCGTATTACTAGGAACCAATCAGGGCAGGAGCGAGCGCTGCAAAGCTCTGCAGTGAGAGAGAGTGAGAGAGAGAATGAGAGAGAGCGAGTGAGAGAGAGAACGAGAGAGAGCGAGTGAGAGAGAGAGTGGAGAGAGAGAGAGAGAGAGATCAGAGAGGGGAGTGCAGAGTGACGGGGGAGCTTCTGGTGTATGCAAACCATCAGAAAGCAGAAAAAGGGATTGAGAGCGAGGGAGAGAGAGAGATCGAGGGAGAGGGAGAGAGCGTGAAAGGGAGAGAGCAAGGGGGAGGGAGAGAGCGAGGGAGAGAGAGCATGAGAGAGAGCGAGGGAGAGAGAGCATGAGAGAGAGCGAGGGAGAGGGAGAGAGCAAGGGAGAGGGAGAGAGAGCATGAGAGAGGGAGAGAGAGCGAGGGAGAGGGAGAGAGCGAGGGAGAGTGGAGTAGAAAGGACTGTTCAGTCACAACACATTGTGGAAGGGAGGAGGGGGACAGTAACAGCAGAGCAGCAGGCGGGGAGAACGAGCTGCACTTCTGCTGGTCTGCTTCCACTCCACATGCAGGACACCCCTGGAAAGGCAGCGTGACTCGCCCTCCCCACCATGCTCCCCCACCAGCCGACGCCCCTGAGACTCCTGGAGGAGTGAGGGACCCCCTGGCCACCAAGGACCCCCGCCTGCACTGGCATGTTTAGGGGACGGGGGGCAGGACCCTTACAGGAGCCGTGACAGGTTTCTCCAGGAAGGTAAGTAGGTCCCCCGGTTGTGATGGCAGGCGACTGTGGTGTGGTGATCGCAGGCGACAGCGTGTCGGCGATCAGAGCCCAACTCCGCTCTCAGCTGCTGGCGATGAACGAGCATTCAGAAACGTGATCGATGCTAATTAGACACCCGCTACGGAAAATGCCGGATAATCAGAAGCCATCTCCACATAGTGGGAGGCTGGTGATAACTGAAAGTGTGCCTTTGTATGATTTTGATACTTTCAGCGCCTGGCCCGTCTGTGACCTGTAAATGGCCGTGAGCGACTTTGATGGACACTTTCTGCGTTCTGCTTGCTGGTGGGTTAGGCAGCGACACCAGTCTTTACACTATGCATTCTCCCGCGGTGAATCTGTCACATCCGGAGCCGTCGTAACTCTGGGCCACCACCTGATCCGGCAGGATTTATTTCCTGCGATCGTTTCAGAGTGCAGAATGTGGATGGATTGGAAGTGTCGACAGATGAAAGTTCCCGTTGGATGGCAGAAGTCGAGAGGAAGTGAGAATGCCGTCCTGTCTCTGGAGTATGGGGGATTCAGGCCGGGCCGCGTGCACGGGGGAGGGGTGTCGTCTCGGTAGGCCCACCCGTCAAGCCACAGCTCTTCATGTTCCCTCTTCTGGGAGATCTTCCCTGCTCCCCGCCGTACTTGTCTACTTCTAGGGCCGTGACGGAACCCAAAAGCTGTAAGGTGGGGGTGGAGGTGGAGGGGTGGGGCTTAATCTCACCTTTCACAGACCGGGGGCTGATTTGCTAAGCAAATGAAGGGCAGGTGTGGCAAGGAGCTCAGACTCATTCCCGGGAACGAAGGAGCCACTATTTCTGGAATGTCTTTTTTCCGGAACGTTTTCACCAGGCAACCTACTTCACAGTCCATAAATGTACCGCATAAACAAACAGCAAAGTAAGCAGGTAAAGAAGCTGGAGGGAGTACAAAGGCAAGGGGGGGGGGGCTGTCCCGCACTGAGAGCATCCCGCTGGGGGGCTGCCACTTGTCTGGGATGCCTGTGTCAGATGCGGACCTGTCTCTCTGTCTCCTGCCTCTCCTCTCCAGGACAGGATCGGGAACCAGGCAAGCGGCGGGGGCTGATGGAAGCTGATATGTCCCGTTTGGCCGGCCACCACGAGCCCCGCGACTGACGGAGACCCCTGCTCCCCTCACCTCCTCATGGGGGCGACTTTGAGCTGATCCCCTCCCCCCCCTCCACCATTTCCACGACAACTTTAGAGCGCTGCTTCTCTGGGGAGAACTGTTTTCTAAGAGCATGGAAGGCAGGGAGATGAGGGCGTGAAGGCCAGCCAGGAGACATTGCTGCCCGCCTCCGCTCCACCCCCGACCCCACCCCTTGGCCTTGCGGGGGTGGACCTCTAACCCACGGCACCAAAAACACACGCAGGGACCATCACCACCCACCACCCGGAAGCGGAGGCACGGTGGAGCGAGCTTCCTCTGTCCGCCTGAAGAGGGCGTTGTGGTTAACGGAAAACTCCAAGAACTGATGAATGAGTGGTGTGTGAACTCAAAGCAAGAAAAACCACGAAACGTGGGACTAAACAGACAGATCCTACGGAAAGGCTTCCCGTTCTTCTTCCTTGGATGCTACAATGCTCATCACCCTTCCTCCGACCACAGAAGAGGGCACTCTGTGTTTGTACATCCATTCTGGATCCTCTGGCTGGGAATACAAAACGTTTCTTGAACTGGAAATCTTCCGTACAGCTGATTCGCGACATTTGAGGCCACTGATGCAGCTGTAGCTCAAACGGTGGATTGGACGTCAGGGTGGAGACTGTGGATATGAGAATGCCAGGGGATTGGCTGAGAGTTCGCTTTTAGTCTGGCCAATTGCGGGGCCTGATATCTGTCCCACCGTGGAGAGCTTGGAGTGGGTGGTTTTCCCAGGGCTGAGTGGTGGGCTAAGAGAAAGTAGGTTTCCTGTGGAGGTGGACATCTTTATTTTTTTGCCTAAGCATGCTGGGATGTGATCTTATTTGGAGTTTGGAGAATTGTGCTGAAGACTACTGAGGGAGAGAAGGCATCTGGACAAAGGGTAAGGTGCCGAGAGTGGTGCGTCTGTACGTGTGTGTGTGTGTGTGTGTGTGCGTGTGTGTGTCTGTGTGTGTGTCTACATGCCAGGAAAGACCAGAGGTCTTTGCATAAGGGACAGCATAAAGTAAATGTAGCAGAATCCAATGATCATTACATTATCCGGATGGGCTGAGAAAATGAGGCAATTTTATCTAGACGGCCCTGGCATCCGTGGGTTTGCCCTAGAGCCCAGCCTGTCGTTAATGCTGTGTTTTTCCAGCACCTCCCTGCGTACGACCTTCATTCCGTCACTGCTCCTCTCTACCCTCGGCCCTCCATCTGCTTCTCTCATGAAGCCCCTCCCATTCCCTGTCCCCGCCCACTTCCAGGCATCTTGCAGCCCCACCCTCGCTGCCTCTCAAACAGAGCTAAACCACAGCAGGTGACATTCCCTGGCAGGCACTGGATGGGTATCTTCAGAACTTATCTGTTTGATTAGCCACTATTTGTCCATAAGGGGGCACCCTTCATGCCAGGCATGCTCTGACAGTGAGTTGCTTTGGCATCTTTTGATCGAAGTCCCTTGTGCTGCCAAAATGTTCAGGGACAGACGACCCAACAAGAGCAAATCCGCCTGCAGAACCTGCTTCCATAACACAATGAGCATCACATACTGCGGGTCCATCACATACTAACTGACCCCCTGGCGCAGCAGGTGAGCGAATCTCGCAAAAAGGGTGTGAAACTCACAAGCATGTCAGCTGCCAAGCATTTGTTCTTTTTTCCTCACAGTCCGTAGTCCTGGCAGATGCGTCTGAACCGAACGTTGTATTATCAGTAAGACTGTCCTGGGTAAAGGTATTAAAACTTCACTAGACCTTACCCACAATGCTCTGCTGTCGCATCTGGTTTGTGTGACAGGCACAAGCGATTAGGGATGAAGCGATTCATAATCGTCTCGCTGATACAACCAGAAGCAGCCGGATTTCATTGTTTTAAGACCTGAAGGCGGGAGTCCGACCAGTCGAACAATTTTTTTTTTATCCACAGAAACACATTCACACGTCCTCTGATTCACCACTCCGACAGGCGCCCGCGTTTCTCGGAGACAGGTTTCCACACTCATGCCTTGACACGTTGGTGAAAGCCCTGCTGATGTCTCTCCCGCTGCAGGATAATGCATGCCCCCCCCGCGCTGGAGGAAGAGGGCACCATGAGCAACGTGACCGTCCACGACAACGCCGAGTCCATCGACCGCAGCATGAACGTAGCAGCGCCCTACCCACTAAGCTTCCAGGTCAGCCTGACCGGCTTCCTCATGCTGGAGATCGTCCTGGGCCTGAGCAGCAACCTCACCGTGCTGGTGCTCTACTGCATGAAGTCCAATCTCATCAACTCAGTGAGCAATGTGGTGACGGTGAACTTGCACGTGCTGGACGTGCTCATCTGCGTGGGCTGCATCCCGCTCACCATTGTGCTCATCCTGCTCTCGCTCGAGGGCAACACGGCACTCGTCTGCTGCTTCCACGAGGCCTCCGTCTCCTTCGCCAGCGTCGCCACGGCCGCCAACGTGCTGGCCATCACGCTGGACCGCTACGACATCTCGGTCAAGCCTGCCAACCGTGTGCTGACTATGGGCCGCGCCGTGGCTCTGCTTGCCTCCATCTGGGCCCTCTCCTTCTTCAGCTTCCTGGTTCCCTTCATGGAGGTGGGCTTCTTCAGCCAGGCGAGACTGGACCAGAACCAGACTGTAGCGACAGTGGCCCACACCAACCAGTACTACACGGAGTTGGGTCTCTACTACCACCTGCTGGCCCAGATCCCCATCTTCTTCTTCACCGTTGTGGTCATGCTAGTGACATACTCCAAGATCCTGCAAGCGCTCAACATCCGAATCGGAACACGCTTCCACGTGGTGCAGAAGAAGAAGGCACACAAGAAGAAGACCATCTCCATGACGACACAGCCAGACACAACAGATGCCTCTCAGAGCAGCACAGGGCGTAACCCTGCGCTGGGCATGCGTACATCTGTCTCAGTCATCATTGCTCTGCGCCGGGCAGTCAGGCGTCACCGGGAACGGCGAGAGAGGCAGAAAAGGGTCTTCCGGATGTCCCTCCTCATCATCTCCACCTTCCTGTTGTGTTGGACGCCCATAACTGTGCTTAACACAGTCATCCTGAGCATAGGCCCCAGTAACCTCATGGTGAAACTCAGGCTAGGCTTCCTGGTCATGGCTTATGGGACGACCATCTTCCACCCACTGCTGTATGCCTTCACGCGCCAGAAGTTTCAGAAGGTGCTCAAAAGCAAAATGAAGAAGAGGGTCGTGTCCATAGTGGAGGCCGACCCCCTGCCCAAAAACGCTGTTATCCACAACTCCTGGATTGACCCAAAGAGGAACAAAAAGGTGACTTTCGAGGAGAATGAAATGAGGCAGAAATGCCTCTCCTCGGAGGACGTTGAGTGACCTTCTCTCATAAGTCATAGATGTGGACTGACCTTCTCGGCGTCTCATAACTCATAGATGTGGACTGACCTTCTCGGCATCTCATAACTCAGAGATGTGGACTGACGTTCTCGATGTCCTCTAAATGCAGAGAGACTCTCATAACCACTCCGGCCAAGTGACTCTGCATTAAAAAGGGAATGTTATTCCAGATCTGTACCACTGCGGAAAGAACGCTCCATGTGCAGAGATCAGAGCAGCATAATTTATTACTATTTATTGTGTGAACAGATGACGGTAGGTTTCATAGAGAAACACGCTGTACAAATTGCATGGCTTTTCTAACAGTAGTGAATACATTGTATATATAAGCCAGTCATGTATATAATATATGTACAGAGAATAGACACTTGGACACTAAATCTGTCAATTTATAATAAATAGCTTAAAAGAGGAGATGGTCTGTGGTCCATCATGAAGCCAAGAACCCCCCCGTACAAACCAGACCTCTCAGGTGGCCAGAGCAGAAGTCGGGGGAGGGGGGTCTCCCTCAGATGCCAAACGAGGGACTCCTCAAGGGCAAATGCTGGTCTGGGGGGGCGGGGGTCACTGATTGTTCGAGGGGGCAGCCGAGCTGAAGTAATTTCATTACAGCCCCCATAATGCAATGCTGCTGCGCGGCTGTGGTCGCTCAGGGGGACAGCAGCGTGATTTGCAGGAAATAAGGTCTGCTTTACATCAGACTCACCCACAGGCCCAATTGGCAGTGGCAAGGTTTCTTTTAATAGGGCCTTAGCTGCCGGGCCGCACCGTGGCTGTCAGTCTGCGAGCGCGTGTGCCCAGAGAGGCCACAGCCCCGCAGCCAGAGGAGCACCGGCGGGAACCGGCTGAAGGCGGTTTGCCCCGCTGTCTGCCCCCTGCTGGTCTGTGGCTGTCCGCTCTCTGCCTGATTAAGGTCACACCACGCCGCAAAAAGGGCTATCAAGTCACGCCGGCGCAGCAACCCCATGGCGGATAAAGCTGCCAGGGAAGGGCTCCCTGTACCTGAAGGGGGGGGGGGGGGGGTTACCCACGGCAACCACGGGGTACAGGAAATGCAGGAAAAAGAGGAATTCTCTACCTCTGCCTGACAGTCTCTGCCTTCGTCTTTAGCACAAGGGAGCTGGGTGCAGTAAGGAGAAACGCTTGGCTCAGGAATAATAACTTCAGCCATTCTGATTCCCTCGGAATGTAAAAATAAAGATAATATGTGTTTATTTGGATGGGCAAAGTAAGTGTGGCACAACGGCAAACTTCACGGCGGGATTCTGCTGCTACTTGTACTCATTGCCTAACTACAAGCACTGACGGGGTTCTGTAAGCCATTCCCAACAGATCCCCAATGTGAGACGATGTTTGCGTCTAAATTAGAATAAAAACACTTTAAATATATAGTTTGATGGGTTTTTTTTTTCCAATGAGGTGTTTTTACTTTCGCAAAAGAGAACTGCAGTCAGATGACAAACCCCTACTTGATAAGGGCCATCAGCAGGGTTGGTACCCAGAATTCATAGCTTCTATGCAATTTATCCTACATAGTGTAGCAGTCTGGCCCTAGAAGATAAAAGTTAGAGGGCAGTCTAAACATATAAGCATATTAGTGAGGTTAGTGCACTACCCGCAGATGAAAGACCAATCCTGTAATGCAGTATTTCAAGGAAAATGATATCAATTGCAAATGACGTACATTAGAGATTCAGCCAGCTAGAGGTTTTGGTCCATAAGCTCCTTCAAACAAAGGCCAGGACCCGTGTTGGTCCGTGAAGCAGGCAGCAGGGCATCTTGATGAGCCCCTCACCCCCATAAAAAGGCTTCAAAGACCTTTTTGTGTCAGGAAAACCTGCCATAAACCCTGTGGTTGATCAGCACATGTCTCCGCTTGGTGAAGATGGCCCCAGGACCAGAGAAGATGGTCCCAGAACCAGAGAAGGCTCTAAACACGCATACTGCAACGGGTTCTGAGTGGGTCCCAAACATGCGTACCACGCTGGGCTCTGAGCGGGATCCAAACACACGTACCACGACGGGCTCTGAGCGGGTCCCAAAGGTGTCAGACAGCCTCTCTTTAGGTAAAGCAAACGTCCTCTTAATCTTGCCAGGCACCATGAAACTGGAGATGCACTGCTGAGTGTCTGTGGTGTAAGAAGACCCACGCTCGCAGAGGTAGTGCTCCCATAGTATGGCTGTGGGATCAAAGCCCATGTGTCACCCTAGGTGAGCTTCTTTGCCAGTGCCCCCCCACCCCCTGGGAAGTTGGTTCCCTCAGAAGATGGTGCCCTAGGCAGTTGTCCATGTTGCCAAATGGGTTAGATTGGCACTTTTTCAGGAACAGGGAGGCGTGGAGGCTGTGACCACATCTCCCACCTGCAAGGCTGTGGGCTGAAGACCTGCCCCATTTGTGTGGAGTGACAGGATCCCCCAGGGTCCCTCCCTCCAAATGCCCAAAACATGTTTTATAAAGCAAAGATGATGATGATAGTACTGCTTTATCTGCACAGGTACTGTGGAATTCCTCGTTTCATATACCCCCTGTTGCTTTAAGAGATACACACAAGGGAGCACAATTTGGGGTTTGAACACAGCACAGTTTGAGCATCTATCCAGAATTGTTTTTTTTGGTGGGTTTTTTGGTTAGGGTTAAAAGCCTTGCTCAAGGGATGAGATTATTCTGCTCAGTATGGGATCTGAACTGGCAACCTTTTGATCGCAGGCACAGAGCCCTAGCATACTGGGCCATACACCACTGGTAGGTGAACAGATATCCCTAAATTGTCCATATATGTGACTGTGTGGCTGACTGTGTGCCCAATGATGGACTGGCATCTTGTCCTGGGTGTCCCTTATGTCATGCCCCAAGCCTCCTGAGGTTTGGCTCCAAGCTCAGAGTTACACATCAGTGAATAAGTGATTATGGAGAGATGGATGGATGGACGGACGGTGGGTAATATGCTGAGCAGAGCCTTTCTGTCATCCGAAGCAGGAGCCCAGAATACAAACCAGCACACTGTCCCACTTCAGCTCAGGGCTGAGAGCCACTGTGCTCTGCCTAGCAGGGCCCTTCAGCGACACAAGCCGGCCCACGTTACGGATGCGGGCCGTGACTGGCACCCTCTCCAGCTCTGCTCGCATTGCGTCTGCCTGCCACTGACATCCGCTGACAAGCCCTGCACCCACCCTGATTAAATCACATTTTCAACGGGATTAAAAACAACCGATAGGCTGAGCCGCTGTCAGAATCCGGCCAAATGTCAGTAACACCCAAATTTGAATTTTATGATTAATATGTGTGCAGCAAAGAGCCTGTAACTAAAAATGCTGACAGCAAATAAAGCCTCAAGCAGGTTGGGTCCCTGCATGGACACAGCAGCTCTCTGACCCCCGAGACTGTGGCCTTATCACCCAGGGGGGTTTGTAGAAGCTCCAAGTGGTGAAAAGGCTCAAGGTTAAAGTACAAGTAACGTTTCAGCCGGGAGGTAAAGATAAGCCACAGCTTAAATGTTCAGTGAAACATGAGGGAGTCTGATTGCTGCTGCAGAATAAGGTTAAAGTTAAAAGTGGAACATTTCCAAAAGTCAGCTCCACGTGCTAGAAGTAGGTCTAACAATTCTGCTGACGAATCTTCTCTACGGAGCAGAATTCTCACTTCCGCCTCCAGGGATACCTGCCCATCTCCACAATTTATCTAATCTCAGGAAGACATTTGGTATCTATGGCTGACATTTTATCTGTTAAACGGCTCGTCCGGCAAAAACGTCAACAGGAAATTGACAGGAAATCAAATGAAGCAGCAGACAATTCCCGGAATAAGAGTGTAGAGTTTATCATCAGGATGGAGCTCGCGGACAAACGTTTAAGGATACAGTGTCTAACTATACATAAACAGCTTAAGCTTCATCATGAGAAAATCAAACTGAATGAGACGGTCCTGTATGAAAATCCCTGGAATGCTGTTTGGCGCACATGCCCCATTCGACGTTCCTGTTTGCCATGTTAGGTCAGCAGATGGGCTGTTTGTTATGAACCAAGCCCACGTCGTGGCGGCGTGTGGTTCGGCCCGTCGCCGTGCCTCTCTAGGTCCCCTTTCCTTCTAACCAGGCTTTCAGGCCTCAGTATCTGTGAAGGTGTTTCCCTTTGCTGTCCCCAGAAGACAGAGGACAAATTAGCTGCTGGCCCAAGGTCTGTAAATATTCATAAGACACTAGATAAGTAGTTATGCTCTAAGTTCATCCGTGTTTCATTTTTCCAGGGGGTTCTGCTGATCTCTCATTGACAGGCCCCCAGGTGTCCTCAGAACTGGAAGAGACTTGATGTATGTATTGCATGAATCTGTGGGAGAGAGTTAACATCTGCCATGAAACACACGGGCGGAGAGTTTCCAAGAGATGGTTGTATGCAGCAATTCTTCTGTTTTCAGATGAGGGAAGATCTTCCTTTGGAAGAGCTGGCCAGGAACACATGCACATCACATGCACATCACATGCACATCACATATCAGAAGGACCCTCACAGAGCACACGCATTTACACATCACTAGAACACTACATGCACATCATATGTATACCACATGCACGCTAACATATCACAAGAGCACATGCACATGAGCACAAAGCATGCACGCTCACATATCGCAAGCACACACAGGCCCATCACATGCACAGCACAGCACACGCACAGCACACGCACAAACGTACACGTCCCGCCCAGTCTCTGCATACAGCCCTGGCCTCCCTCCAGGACCTGCTTCCTGACGTCTGCCTGACTTTGATTCCCCCCCAGAAGCCACCACTCTGCAGTGTGTGATCATCATCGGCACCCCCTCCCCCTTCAGCCTTATCATCACACGGTGTGTTGAGCTCATTTCCATCCTTTCGCCAGCTCACATCGCCCCTGTACCTCTGTTCTCTCCCCCATGTGCCCTTCAGCTGCCCTCCTAGCCTGACCCCCATCCCTGCTGCCACACCCCCGGCGTTACCCAGCAGGTTCAGAGTGGGAAAAAAGCCGGCAAATTGTGTTATGTGGCTCTGCGTTGTGCTTCTATTGTATTAGGCCAGTGCGCACTTGGCTATAATTCAGCGCGATTCTGCTATCGCCAGGGAGACGGAGAACGAATGGAAAGCGGCGAGCTGCGCCGGCTTGACGAATCGTTGGTCACACTCGATTTCAAAACACTGCCTTTAAAACGAAGCAGGCCCCAGGGCAGTCGACCGATAGGGGCACTCGGAGATGCAGCTGCAGATTACGGCCAAGGGAGACTGATATAGCTCACAAACAAAAGCAGATCTCTGCACATGAAAGACACGAGTGTCGGCAATAAAGCTTTCTTTTTTTTATTTTTTAAAGATTTTGATTAAAATCAGAAATTAGAGATAAGATTCCCTACTGCATCCATCACTGTGGGTATTGTTGCTTGTCCAC